CACATGGAGTAGAACCCTGCAGAAATCACTATGGAAACTGGAGAGTACATTAAAGTAGGACAGGTTGATGTTCAACAGAAGAACCTCCTTCCAGACTAGATGATGACCGGTCATCCATGGGTACTGTGGTATATTAGCTTGAGATGGCAACCTGGGTCCATGAAGTGAATAGACATTTGGGGACCAAAGTAGTGCAGAGGGCTGAATCAGGACATATTGCTTTTGCACTTTTTGAGGCTCAAAATGCCAACAAGAACGGTTCAGTATGCCAACAAGAGAAACAGAGGCTGCAGATGGCTATGGGGGGATTCCTCAGGGGGAAGACCCCACGCATAGCTGGCAAGTGGATTACACTGAACCACTGTCAGTAGACCCAGCAGGGCTACAGATGGGTTTTGACAGAATAGACATTGACTCACTACTGAGTTATGCTTACCTGGTGGTAGATGCAAGAGTCCAAGTACTATAAAAGAATTGGAATAGAAGATATTGAACCCATTTGGATCATCAAATCACATTTTATCAGAGAAAGGAACACACTTTACAGCTCATAATGCCAAATAATGAGTAGTCAGAGAGATTCTTCTCAGAATAAGTTTCATAGAAAATTGGAACAAGCATTTGAAATACTCCTTGTTTAAAACAGGAGGAGATGGAGGCATGAAGGGTTGGTTAACGTGTTTTCAAGAGTTAAAAAAAAAAAAGAAGGTACAATCTGTTTGTAGGATATATACTAAGTTTTAAGTTGACCTTAAAATGCATTCCAATATACATCAGGTGCAGACAAATACTATTTGATTCTATCTACACAAGACACTTAGAATAGTCAAATTCATGGAGTCAGATAGTACTCTGGGAGACAGAAGGGGCTGGGGGGTAGAGGGTGGGGAGGGGGAACGGGGAGTTAGTATTTAATGGGGACAGAGTCTCAATTTAGGAAGGTAAAAAATTCAGGAGATGGATGATGGTGAGAGTTGCACAACAATGTGAATGCACTTGGTGCTACTAAACTGTATAATTAAATATGGTTAAAGTAGTATGTTTTACATTATGCAACTTTTACCACAACAAAAAAAAATTTTAATAAATTAAAACATTAAAAAAAACCACTCAACATAATAGGATCTAAGGCAGCATTGTTCCCACTAGATGGATTCCTCTGTTTTTCAGGGGAAGAGAGGGTGGTGAGAGGCTGCTGGTATGACTATACAATTTTTTTCATGAGAGAAAGATGATGGTCTGACTATATGATTCTTTCCAAGGAGAGAGGACCTTGGCATGATAAATATACTTTTTGTTTTCTTCTCCATATACCTCAACTTTCTCTTTCCAGTCTGATGCCCTGTGGTCACAGGACCAGGGATACGACTACAAGTGCCAGAAACAGGGATGATTTCTAGGCAAGAAATTGTAACTATAGTTTTACACCTTTATGTCAGAATTCCTAAAGGCCTGGCAGGGCAGGTAGTGCCTTCATTCTATTTGACAAAATCAAGGTTAACACTTGAAAGTAGCTATTGCCTGGTGGTAAAGAAAAAAAAAATAGCCCAGTAGTCATGCAGCTAAGTAATTCTACCCTATATGAATAGAAATGAACTGAAGGGGAGGCACTTACTACACTAGTATGTTGCCTGAAATCTAGAACAGCACAGTTGCTAAATCTAAAGTTCCTTCCAAATGTGGAAAAGTTTAGGTATAAATAAATGGAGAGAAGGAAGAACAGTAGTTCAGGGTAAAAGAATGAATCAATGGGCTATGCAAACGAAGGAAATCTAATATCATATTACAATCTCAACAGAGGCTCAGAGCAAGGGAATACTACTATCTTTTAGCTCAATTGTGGGCTTCCCTGATGGCTCAGAAGGTAAAGAATCCGCCTGCAATGCGGGAGAGCTGGTTTCAATACCTGGGTTGGGAAGATCCCCTGGAGAAGGTAACTCACTCCAGTATTCTAGCCTGGAGAATTCCATGGAGAGAGGAGCCTGGGAGGCTATAGACCATGGGGTCACAAAGAGTCGGATTCAACTGAGCAACTTTCACTTTAGCTAATTTCAATTACACCAGATGCTTGAAAAGATGAAACCATGTATTGCTGAGACTACTTGTGCCTTTGGGACTTGACAAGACCAAATGGAAGCACACAAATCTGAGTGGTCTCACCCTTGAAGACATTTTCATACGATATGATGATGGACTAGACTAATTAATGACTGAATGTGACTCTAGTGATGTACCAGTATCTTTCGACTTATATGATGCTTTTGCTATAAGAGATTAGTGAGGGTGACAAAATATACATTTGGTCTTTGTCCCAGGTTCCTGATATGAAGTTCCTAGTTCAGTTGAGTTAAGTCACTCAGTCGTGTCTGTCTCTTTGGGACCCCTGGACTGCGGCACACCAGGCCTCCCTGTCCATCACCAACTCCCAGAGTTTACTCAAACTCATGTCCATTGAGTCGGTGATGCTATCCAACCATCTCATTCTCTGTCATCCCCTTCTCCTCNCCCTGGACTGCGGCACACCAGGCCTCCCTGTCCATCACCAACTCCCAGAGTTTACTCAAACTCATGTCCATTGAGTCGGTGATGCTATCCAACCATCTCATTCTCTGTCATCCCCTTCTCCTCCTGCCTTCAATCTTTCCCAGCATCAGGGTCTTTTCAAATGAGTCAATTCTTCCCATCAGGTGGCCAAAGTATTGGAATTTCAGCTTCAGCATCAGTCCTTCTAATAAATATTCAGGACTGATTTTCTTTAGGATGGGTTGGTTGGATCTCCTAGCTGTCCAAGGGACTCTCAAGAGCCTTCTCCATTACCACAGTTCAAAAGCATCAATTCTTCCGTGCTCAGCTTTCTTTATAGTCCAACTATCACATCTGTACATGACTATTGGAAAACCATAGCTTTGACTAGATGGACCTTTGTTGGCAAAGTAACGTCTCTGTTTTTTAGTAGGCAGTCTAGGTTGGTCATAACTTTTCTTTCAAGGAGCAAGCGTCTTTTAATTTCATGGCTGCAGTCACCATCTGCAGTGATTTTGGAGCCCCCCCAAATAAATTCTCTCACTGTTTCCATTGTTTCCCATCTATTTGAAGTTCCTAAAACCCTTGGAATTCCCTGAGTGATAAGAATGTCTTTTGTTATTCATAACAAGCCCCTTTCAATAACACCTGAGTTTATGCTACTGAAGTAACTTAGGTTGCAGCCCCTAAATAGCCTAAGGATGGGTTGGTCACCAGAAACACCAAGTGATTAGAGGACTGGAACTTTCAACGTCACCCACCAACCTCCAGGAAGGGAACTGGAGATTGAGCTCTATAATGCTTTTGAACTGTAAGATTCAGAGAGTGTCTGGTGATGACATCAAGCTGTTGAGAGGGTGGTTTGCCTAGAGAGGGCATGGAAGCTTTGCACTCCCCTCCCCATAGCTTGCCCTATGTACCTCTTCCATTTGGCTATTCCTGAGTTGTGTTCTTTATGATAAACCAGTAATAGTATGTAAAGTGTTTTCCTAAGTTCTGTGAGTCATTCTAGCAAAGGATCAAACCTGAAGGGAGGGTGGTGTGGGAAATCCTAAATTTGTAGTCAAGTTGGACAGAAGGGCAGGTAACCTGGGGACCTAGAACTTTCAACTGAAGTCTGAGTGAGGGCAGTCTTGTGGGACTGAGTTCTATGAGTTCTGTGATAATTCTATAAATTAGCATAAGAATTGAATTGAATTGTTGGATGACTAGTTGGTATCTAGAGAACTAGTGGAAAACATCCTAGACAAACTTTCTACCATGAACATGTATTACTTTAATAACAGAAAAGAGTAAAATAAACATGTTATTTTAAAAAATGAAATATGAAAAGACAACCAACAGAATGGGAAAAGTATTTGCAAAGTGACCAACAAGAGATTAATCTCCAATATATACAAAAAGCTCATGCAGCTCAATATCAAAAAAGCAATTAATTCAATCAAAATAAGGGCTAAAGATCTAAGTAGACATTTCTCCAAAGAAGACATATAGATGACCAAAAAAGCACATGAAGAGATGCTCAACATCACTGATTATTAGAGAAATGCAAATCAAAACTACAATAAGGTACCACCTCACACTGGTCATAATGGCCATTATCAAAAAACCTACAAACAATAAATGCTAGAGAGGGTGTGGAAAAAAGGGATACCTCTTACACTATTGGTGGGAATATAAATTGGTACAGTCACTATGGAAAAGAGTAAGGAAGTTCCTCAAAAAAAACAAAAAATATAGCTACCATATGATATAGCAATCTCATTCCCGGGCATATACTCAGAGAAAACCATAAACTGTAAAGATACACGAAACCCAAAGTTCATTGCAGCACTATTTACAATAGTCAGGACATGGAAGCAAGCTAAATGACCATCACAGATGAATGAATAAAGAAGATATGGTGCATATATACAATGGAATATTACTCAGCCATGAAAAGGAATGATATAATGTCATTTGCAACAACATGGATGGACCTGGAGATTGTCATACTGAGTGAAATAAGTCAGATAGAAAGACAAATATCATATGATATCACTTACATGTGGAATCTTAAAAATGTTACAAATGAATTTATTTACAAATCAGAAATAGAGTCACAAACATAGAAAACAAACTTATGGTTACTGAGGGGAATTTTTCAATGCTATTCTCTCAAATCATCCCACCCTCGCCTGCTCCCACAGAGTCCAAAAGTCTGTTCTTTACATCTGTGTCTCTTTTGCTGTTATACCCCAATAAAAGTAATTTTTAAAAATTTAAAAATGAAGTTATTATAGCTTGAACACTGAATAAACACCTTAACTTCTCAAAATCTGCTGATATCCTACAGCAAATTATTAAATGCAAATATTTGTAAAGTGAATAAAACTGAATTCCTTCCAATTCAATCCACATATATAAGTTTTCTTGATTTCTTCTCCATACTGAGCCTCAACCATCTCTTTAGTTCTGGTCTGTACACTATGGCTCACCTCCTATGTCTTCATCCTCATTGGCTGGGCCTTCTGTACCATCCACATTTTCTGTTTCATGAGCTTTGGTTAAATCGTAGTCATTCAAAAGCTCTGAACCTTCTAGGAGATAAAAAGAATTTTAACTATGAAGTAACTTAAAAGGATTTTTATAAACCTGTATTAAGTAAGCCTCCCATTTCAGCTTCATCCAATCCCTAAGTGATAAACAATATCCTTTCACATATACCCAAGCAAGATATATATGAAATTTTAGAAATATGCCCAAGGTTTATTTGCCTTTCAATTAGACATCATTTTCTTGAATAGTTCTTTCACTTTAAATTCCACTCAGGTTCCTTCTGGATAGAAATTCTCTCTTCTTTGGTGTATTTCAGGATATTGAGTAAGATGTTAAGACTAAGAATATTAACATATAGTGATGAGAAATATTGAGCCTGAGACTACTGGCAAAACTCAATGTGGGAAAGATGCTTTCCTGAGAGGAAGCCTATAAGCTTCTGTATACCAAATTGTATTTTCCCTTTCTGTTCACATTATAAATATGATTTTGTGGAAAGCATATTGGCCCCCAAATTCTTTTATTTCTTCAAACATTTACTAAATGTTGACAAGGCTACAGATATGAATAGGTCATAATTCCTGTATTCAAAGAGCTGATAATTTACAGATGTAGATAAAACAAACCCACAAATACAATGCAAGATTCAGACAAGAGATAAGTCTAAAATGTAGACTTGGACAAGAGATTAAGGGAAATACAAAGTGCTATGGGAGTTCCTAAGTAAAAGGCAGTAGATATGATAAAAGCATGGTTAAATTAACAACAAACTTGCTAATAATTAAGTTTAACAAAAACACAATTTTTTTACAATAAATATCGATAATAACAGAAGTAAGGAATAAGGCATAACATAGCTGGAATTTTTTCACATATAAGCACGGTAGTTTAATAAAAAAAATGATAACAAAAGAAATGAACAGAAAAGACCCACTTGCCATCCAACTCCTTCCCAATATTCAAAAAAAATTTGCTGAGGACCTACTACATGCAACAAATAGTCAAAAACACTGAATCCTGCAGCACTGAGGAGGGGTTGAGATAGGAGAGGAGATGGAAACTCTGCAGCGGCTTCCTTTCTGCTGCAAGCATGGCTGAACATGTGGAACAGGACATTTTACTGGAATACAGGAGTAAAATGGAAACATATCACATAAGATACATGACTAAGAGGTCCTGAAAATGTAGTCGCCATGGATTCAGGTCAAGTTTCTCATTTCTGCATATCATATACTCTTAGACACTAAGACACTGCTCTAAACAATAGTTTTCTTTTCTCAAGACTGAAATGATAGATATACAGTGCACGTCTGAACAATTGATATGAGGTACATGTTCAATTAAAACATAAGGTTACAAACTTAGAGTAAAATAAAGACACCTGTGTGATAAATTTTGTAATATAGCAAAAGCTTTGATTCAAACAAAGTGAGTATATCACTAGAGAAAACACAGAATTTATTTTTAGGAAATAGATTATTTTAAGTTTTTATAGTTTATTATGGAGCAAGGGTCAGCAAACCATGGCCTAAGGCCAAATCTAGCCATGCCCTGTTTTTATCAATATATAGACCCAGGAGGTAAGAATGGTTTTACAGTTTTAAAGATTGTAAAAAATATAAAGAATATACAACAGAGACCATATACGGCCCACAAATAAATATTTATTCTCCGGCTCTTTACAAAAAAAGTTTGCTGACCACTGTTCCTGAGTGAAAAGCACAAGTTTTATAAGCTGTGATATTGTTCAACAAAAGCTGTCTTAATTCAAATGAGTCAGCTGAAAAAATTTTTAAAGAAAAGTAAAAAAAACAGTGAAAAAATAAAAAATAAAAAAACATTGGATGGGGTGGTTTGGCACTGTGATGTCAAATAACTTATATGATCTAAACAGCTGCATTATTTTTTTTATCAGGAAGACACAACTTCATTTTTTCCACAACACATTTCCATAGCATTTTTATTGCAGTCAGAATACTCCTCTTCATTTGAACTATTCAGTAAAGGTATATTTTTAGAGAGGAAAGACCTGATGTTGTTACCTGTGGGCACAGACGGCTCTTGAGTGCTCTTCAGTTCCACATTTGGTTTTATGTCTGAAACGAAAAGGATTATAAATATTAGCTTTTTAGAGTAAATTTTTTTTTTTCAGATTTGAGCATTCTAAATTTAATAAGGATACCACTTTGGAAGACTTAGTTGCTGATTTCCTCTTCAGAGCAGGACTATTCTCTACATCCTTACTAAAAAGTGTCTCAAGGAGAATAAAAGAATCCATGCAGAAATTATATTTTAAAGAGATTAAGAGGAAAAAATTACTATCCTGCATTTATTCTGGTTCTTTTTATTTTGTCATAAAGACCTGAGTTCCTATCTGGTATTGTCTCACTTCAGTCTAAAGATCTTTCTTCAGCATATCTACTAATGCAACTGTATGAATGACTACTTTTCTCAACTTCCCATTTATTTGGAAATATCTTTATTTTGCCTTAAATTTTAAAAGATATTTTTACTTGACATAGAATTATGGGTTGACAGTTTTCTTCTGTCACTTTAAAGATGGCATTCCACTATCTTCTTATCCTCTATTGTTTTTGACAAAAAAAATGATAACAAAAGAAATGAACAGAAAAGACCCACTTGCCATCCAACTCCTTCCCAATATTCAAAAAAAATTTGCTGAGGACCTACTACATGCAACAAATAGTCAAAAACACTGAATCCTGCAGCACTGAGGAGGGGTTGAGATAGGAGAGGAGATGGAAACTCTGCAGCGGCTTCCTTTCTGCTGCAAGCATGGCTGAACATGTGGAACAGGACATTTTACTGGAATACAGGAGTAAAATGGAAACATATCACATAAGATACATGACTAAGAGGTCCTGAAAATGTAGTCGCCATGGATTCAGGTCAAGTTTCTCATTTCTGCATATCATATACTCTTAGACACTAAGACACTGCTCTAAACAATAGTTTTCTTTTCTCAAGACTGAAATGATAGATATACAGTGCACGTCTGAACAATTGATATGAGGTACATGTTCAATTAAAACATAAGGTTACAAACTTAGAGTAAAATAAAGACACCTGTGTGATAAATTTTGTAATATAGCAAAAGCTTTGATTCAAACAAAGTGAGTATATCACTAGAGAAAACACAGAATTTATTTTTAGGAAATAGATTATTTTAAGTTTTTATAGTTTATTATGGAGCAAGGGTCAGCAAACCATGGCCTAAGGCCAAATCTAGCCATGCCCTGTTTTTATCAATATATAGACCCAGGAGGTAGGAATGGTTTTACAGTTTTAAAGATTGTAAAAAATATAAAGAATATACAACAGAGACCATATACGGCCCACAAATAAATATTTATTCTCCGGCTCTTTACAAAAAAAGTTTGCTGACCACTGTTCCTGAGTGAAAAGCACAAGTTTTATAAGCTGTGATATTGTTCAACAAAAGCTGTCTTAATTCAAATGAGTCAGCTGAAAAAATTTTTAAAGAAAAGTAAAAAAAACAGTGAAAAAATAAAAAATAAAAAAACATTGGATGGGGTGGTTTGGCACTGTGATGTCAAATAACTTATATGATCTAAACAGCTGCATTATTTTTTTTATCAGGAAGACACAACTTCATTTTTTCCACAACACATTTCCATAGCATTTTTATTGCAGTCAGAATACTCCTCTTCATTTGAACTATTCAGTAAAGGTATATTTTTAGAGAGGAAAGACCTGATGTTGTTACCTGTGGGCACAGACGGCTCTTGAGTGCTCTTCAGTTCCACATTTGGTTTTATGTCTGAAACGAAAAGGATTATAAATATTAGCTTTTTAGAGTAAATTTTTTTTTTTCAGATTTGAGCATTCTAAATTTAATAAGGATACCACTTTGGAAGACTTAGTTGCTGATTTCCTCTTCAGAGCAGGACTATTCTCTACATCCTTACTAAAAAGTGTCTCAAGGAGAATAAAAGAATCCATGCAGAAATTATATTTTAAAGAGATTAAGAGGAAAAAATTACTATCCTGCATTTATTCTGGTTCTTTTTATTTTGTCATAAAGACCTGAGTTCCTATCTGGTATTGTCTCACTTCAGTCTAAAGATCTTTCTTCAGCATATCTACTAATGCAACTGTATGAATGACTACTTTTCTCAACTTCCCATTTATTTGGAAATATCTTTATTTTGCCTTAAATTTTAAAAGATATTTTTACTTGACATAGAATTATGGGTTGACAGTTTTCTTCTGTCACTTTAAAGATGGCATTCCACTATCTTCTTATCCTCTATTGTTTTTGACAAGAAGAAAATTTTCTATCATTATTTTCCTTTATATATTCTTTTTCTATGAATGCTTTGAAGATTTTCTCCTTAGTTTTTAGCAGTTTAACTGCTATATGCCTAGGTGTGATTTTATCTGCATTTATCTCACATGGGTCCACTGAACTCCTTATCTGTAAGATTGTGTTTTTCACCAAACCTGATAATTTTTCAGCTATTATTTCTTCAAATTCTTTTTTTCCTCCATTCTTTTCCCCTTTTTATTCAAGGACTTCATCTACATGCATGTTAGATTTTTTCATATTCCTACATTTTCTTGAGGGCCTGTTCTTTTCCCCTTAAAGTTCTTTTCTCTGTTGCTCAGATTGAATACTTTCATGAATCTTCCTTCATTTCAATGAATCTTCATTATCCTTTCTTCTGTCATCTTAATGTGCTATCAAGCCTATCCAGTGAGTTTTATATTTCAGATACTGTCATTTTTAGTTCTAGAATTCTACTTTGATCTTTTTTATAGTCTCTCTCTAATCGAGTAGGAAATGGCAACCCACTCCAGTAGTCTTGCCTGGAGAATCCCATGGACAGAGAAGCCTTGTGGGCTACAGTCCATGGGGTCGCAAAAAGTCGGACACGATTGTGTGACTGAGCACACTACACATAGTCTCTCTGCTAGATTTCCTATTTGTTAATTCATTACAAGCACATTTTCCTTTACATCTGAGTATAATTACTACACTTGTTTAAGAACCTTGTCCTCCAATTCTAATATCTAATATCATTTTGGGGTTAGTCACCTATGACTTCCTTTTCTCTTGAGTATGGGTCACATTTTCCTGCTTATTCAAATAACCTAAGAATTCTGGATTGTACCCTGAAAATTATAAAGATATGTTACAGAATTTCTGGAGTCTGTTATGTTCCTTTGAAGGATATAGGAGATTTTCTTTATTTTACTTTTTAAAGCATGTAGTTAAACTCATATTCTGTTTCATTTGTGGGGGGAAGCATCTAGGGTAATCAGTTGTCCCAGTATACCAGGGATTGAAGGTTTTCCAAGACTACAGAACTTTCACAGCCTCAGGAAAACTGGCACAAGTTGGTCACTCTTGCAGAAGCGTAAATCTCCGTTCAGTTACTTTCACCTCAGATGGACCGCGAAGGGTGTGACCCATACAAGTATAGTTCAAGGATTAGCTAAAGATTTGGTCCAGCTAGAGCATTTATACACAAAAGGCCCTCTCTACCCTCTCCACTCTAGGATTTCCCCGTTTGTTTCCTATGATTGCTTGTGATTGCTATGTTTTTTAAACCAGTAAAACTGTGGATTATAATTCAAGTTTTGGTCACCCAGATGCTAAAACTGGGACCTGCCTTTAAGCGAAACAACCTTAAAGACAGGTTGGTTTTGATTATTTTCCAATGCCTGCAGGTAATAGATTTTTCATATTTTGTCCAGAACTATAACTGTTATCTGCTGGAAGGTTGGTTCAACAGGACCAACCTCCTCTACTACTAGAATTCTCCATTTGTTCTTTATTTCAATGGTCATTTGGGATCACATACCCATAACTGCTCCAGATACCACTGATTTCAAATAATCTATATTTCACATGTATTTCAATTTTTGTTTTGAAAAATAGTCACTGCACTTACATTCTATCCTAATATTAAAAGTTTAACACACCACCCATTAGATGTTAGCAGCAAAGCCTAAGTGCAGGAAGAATACAAATACTTTTAAAATAAGCAAGCATTAGTCAGTCAGTCAGTCATGGCCGACTCTTTACAACCCCATGGACTGTAGCTCACTAGGCTCCTGTGTCCATGGAATTCTTCAGGCAAGAATACTGGAGTGGGTTGCTTTCCTACTCGAGGGGATCTTCCTAGCCAGGGATTGAACCCAGGTCTCTTGCACTGCAGACAGATTCTTTACCATCTGAGCCACCAGGGAAGCCTTTTGTAAAATAAGCAAAGGGGCAGCCTAACATGTAGTGTTAAAACCCAAGATGGGTGAAAGAAACGTCCATACAAGGAATAGGGACAGGCCAGGGTAGGCTGTTGGAGACCAACCAGTATGAAAAGTGTGCCTGTGTGGGGTGCACATTTAGCGTGAGATGAGGAGGGATTCTACATGAAGAGCAGACAGATTGGCAAGTCAGAGCCTAAGCAGGATGAGAAGGGCAGGAGAATTACCTGGGCTGGAGTGATGAAGAAAGTATCCAAGTAAGGGATGACCTAGCACGAGGAGTCAGAGCCTGAGCATAGAGAAGAGGCCATCTATGCCTGGGGGTGCCCTCATTTCAGGGAGTAGACAGGGTGAGCAAGGCACCCACATAGGGACAGTGGGGGCGCCAAAGAGCCCAAATGGAGTGAGGAGTTTCTCTGGAGGTACCCAAGGCAAAGTGTCAGAACTTGACTGGGAAAAAGAGGGCATCCACACATTAAGGGCAGCTCTGCTTAGTTGCTCAGTTGTGTCTGACTCTGCGACCCCACAGACTGCAGCCCACCAGGCTCTTCTGCCCATGGGGATTCTCCAGGCAAGAATACTGGAGTGGATTGCCATGCCCTCCTCCAGGGGATCTTTCCAACCCAGGTCTCCTGCATTGCAGGCAGATTCTTTACCGTCTGAGCCACCAGGGAAGCCCCAGAATACTGGAATGGTTAGCCTATCCCTTTGTCAGGGGATCTTTCTGACCCAGGAATCGAACCAGGTTTCCTGCATTGCAGGTAGATTTTTTACCAGTTGAGCTATCTGGGAAGCCCGTCAGACCGCAATAGTTGAAAAGCGTATCCACATAGATCAGTGCCTGCAGTACAGGATGTCAGAAACCAAATGGGGCAAGGTAAGAATCTTCACTGAAGAGGAAATGGCAGTGGCAGTGAATGACTGTTTATACAAAGAAGGATTGATCAAGTCAGAAAAATATAATGAGGACCATGAGACCCAGGTTTTTCTCTGTCAGAGAAGAGAGTTATAAACATGGAAACCTGTGGTCCTATATTGGAAATGGAAGTACTGGCAGGAACACATGGCTTCTACTATATATAAATTGATACAAAATATAGATGGAAATGTGTGTATATGTATGGTATAACACACATGGTCTCTAGCTCTGTCCACTGAGAGCCCCTGGGAGCAGAGACACCACAACAGCTTTCAGGATACGGATATTAACTTCGAAGTATCATTCTCAACTCATAGAAACCATATTCCTTGGAGAAATGGCTGACTCCAGCACTGGGGGAGGGAAAGTACAGATGAGACTGAAACATTTTGTTGTGTCAGAAAGCAAGGAAGTGCTCACAGAAACAAGAGCATACATTAAAAGGATATGGAAATTATTTTGAAGGGGTTCCCACTTGCCAAATCTGAGACAAGGGAGCATCAAAATTACAATGATAGTATTGGATTATAACCTATTAAAAAACATAAATTCATGTGTCCATATTGACATTAATAAGTAGTTGATAAATTTAAAGTCCAGTAACAAATGGAAAATTTACATAGTTTCAAAATGCTTCTTCTCAAAATATTATTACAAAGATGAAAAAAGAAACTATATAGTGAAGAACCTTGTAGACACCACTGTACTGAGTAATCATTATTGGTAATGGGACAAATGAAAATTGTGTGTCTACTGATAATGAAAAGAACACAGCTTCACCTCTGTGATATACCTGCCAGACATGCACAATCTAAATCTAACCATGAGAAAACTAACTCTAACTGAGGGACAATTTACAAAATTACTGGCTTGTAATTCTCAAAAGTGTCAAAGTCATGACCAACTGAGGAACTACTCCAGACTGAAGGACAGGGAAGAGACGTGACAACTAAATGCATATGTGATTCTGAGCCGAATTCTCCTGAGGTAAAGGGCATTATAGAAGCTACTGGAGAAATCTGAGTGGGGTCTGAGGATTAAATTGTAGTAATGTATCAGTGTTAATTTCCTGATTTTGATAGTTATTTCCTGGTTATGTAGGAGAAGGTAGAACACACACTAAAGTAGTCAAGGGTGGATAGGGCTTTATGTCAGCAACTTAATCTCAAAATTTCCGGAAAAAAAAAATAGTTTTTTGTACTGTATTGCAACTTTTCTGTAAGTTTGATAGTGGGAGTTTTTTTAAAGCTTTTTTTTTTCCTTTTTTCAGCTAACTGTGAAACTTTTAACTGCACACTAAAGGGATTCTGAACAAAAAAAAAAGAAAGAAAAGCAGCTCAAACGTTTCACACGAACAATCTTCATGTGAAAACACCTTTTAGTTATTACAGAGCAAGATGGCTTTTGATTTGGTGACCTAAAGAAAAAAGGTCCTAGTCCCCTGAGCCTTTTAAACTCTCTGACAGTGACATTTAAATAGCTCTCAATACTTTTTCAAGCAGCCTTTGTGTGGTGTAAATAACACCAGAAGGAACTGAGTACAGTTTCCAAGAGAAAAAGGAGATTTGACTATCTGAGTTTTCAAAATTTGAAGGAGACATTTAAACCATCTAAGACTTCCCTGGAAGTCC